TTATTAAAAACTTTGAGTTAAAAATATATAATAGTTATAGTAAAAAAGGAAAATGATTATTGTAGAGTGTCCGAAGAGTGTCGATATCGACACGTATCCGACACGTGTCGGACACAGACACGCTACCCTATTTAGAGTGAACGTGCTACATAGCCCAAGTTTCAATCTTGATTTATACCTATCTTTACCTGTTAAGCTCTTTTCTTGCTGATCATTTTTTTTTAGTGGTTTGAGTATCATACTTTCTACTCTTTTTAAATCTGAGGGAAATATATGAACTCTCAGAAACTCTTTATCCTTTTTTTGTACAATATAGCTCAGAACTTTCAAACCTTCCATCCAAAAGCACTTTATCATCCTTCCTGTGAAGAACAAACATTGATAGGGTATTAGGGTGTCTAAATATCTAAGTGTGATATTCTAATCTTAACATATCCTCGCTCCATATTGATGCTTCATCCTGGGTTCTATCTGGGCATCATAATAATTGGGTAATCTCTTGATTATTGTGTAGAACCACCACATCTTCTTGGAAAAACTGAATCAATGCTAAATCTGATCTCCCTGTTAAGATCTACTTTATCTTTTCACTCACATGCTCACCTCACCAAGTTTCCACTACCTCTGATGCTTTCCTTCTCCTATCCGTTGCTCCATGTCTATCTTTTTTTGGAGGAATTGTGTTTGCACTTTGAAGCTGATTTAGAAGCTTTGCATATTTCCTTGTCTGAAAATGGAAAAAAGAATCACATTGGCACAATAATTGATGCATTCTGTGTGTGTGTTGTAAGATCAGTATTAACATATCGTTGTTATACCTGAAGGATGTTTGACTTCATGAACTGTTAACAATATGCACTAACTCTTTAAGATGGTGGTTGACTAAGAAAAGAACAGAGTTCTGTCTAGTATTCTTGGAGCTGTGATGGTCAATAAGTACACTGTCTTTTTAATTAATTCAGCTGGCTTCAATTTCATGAAAAATTATTTCCTTATTGGAAATTTTTGAAAAACCTGGTGCTTCTCAGGTTGAAATTTGAATAAATAAACCAAGATAAAGTGAAGTTAGATTGTAAGTCAATTTACTAATTAGAAAAAGCATATTTTTCACTGGTTTATCATTCCAATGACTACTGTAGAGGTGACTATGTTATTTGATTTATCATTGGAAAAAGCATATTTTGCCACTTGTTCTGGTATATGTATAGATCTGTTAGACATTTATCCTGGCAGATAACCTTTAATTAATATATCTTTAGATTGATGAATAATTATTCCTTATGTATTTTATTATCCTCGTGCTGAAACAAATGTTTTCTGCAGTTGTTGAAGGACTTCTTAGTATGGATAGAGCAAGATCTTGGTCCTTGGGGTCCTCTTGTGCTGTAAGTACTTTTATATGTACTGATGTTGGTCAAAATGCCTCAAAGCTCACAAAGGGAAAATGCCTACTACTTGATTTAGCACTTGATTGGCTAAGCTTTTTAAGTGCTTATAAGCAGTAGGGGTCACAAGGAATGTGTGATTAGAAAGTACGTAAAAGTTGTGGGTCCTAAGAAAAGTGTGGATAAGAATAGGGTTTTATCAGCTCATCAATCATAAGCTTTGCCTATAGCCTTAGACTTTTTAGACATTGCTTAAATCTAGCATGTTTAGTTGGTGCAAGACAGTTTCCAGCTTCTTTTCTGCTCTGTGATGTATATTATTTTATTAAACATCGATGTAATCAACTGATTCTCTCATGGACTTTTTAGACATTGCTTAAATCTAGCTTAGTTAGTTGGTGCAAGACAATTTTCAACTGCTTTTCTGCTCAGTAACGCATATTAGTCTATTAACCTTCAATTTAATTAATTTATTCTCACTGTCTCACATATTAAGCTGGTTATAGAATGTATCACAAATTTTGTAACTATGAATTTCATTTTGAGTCGCACATGCTTTGTGAACCTTGCAGAGCAGTTGCATATATTCCTCTAACCGTGCTAGCAGTTCCAGCTTCAGTACTTACAGTAAGAATTGATATTTCTGTTAATTATTCAATTTTATTCTGTTCTCTAATTCCAACAAAGTGTTTTCAATTCCAGAACATCAGTAATGTTCATTAGATATATGACTCTCGTTTTCTGTTGATATGTTGGATTGCATGGGGGTAAATAAAGGAGTTCATTTGTTAATATCAGTCCTTCATTTTCTGGCAGTGATTTTTTGCTTGATAGCTTTCCTCTTCAACTAATCTACAGGCCTTTTCTAGTTATCACATCATTCTCTAGTTACAGTGGCTCAGATATAAAACTTAAGCTCCATTCTTTTCCAAATTCTTTTTTTTTTTTTTTTTT